GCCTTGTGACCCTAAATGATGATGGATCTGGACCAAACATGGCACACATATGGTCAAATTTAGACTAGGACCGCATATATGGAAGGTCCGTGCCTGGTGAGTGTTCCTGATTGAAGAACAGACAACACACTCACTAGGTGAAGATAGCCACAGACTTTTATTAGTAATCTGGCCAAGAAAGAAGGCAAGTATGGCTGCCGCCAAAAGGTACAAGCATAATATGCAATAGTTTAATTAGGTTTTATTTGAGTATTGCATTCTGGTCTTATTTTAAATGTCAATTATCCTCTTTTGTTATAAGTTTAACGCTGTTATTTTGGGGAGAGAGGGTGGTCTATAAATAAAGTTGAATTATTATTATTCATTCTGGTGCCCTTGGAGAGCTATAAATCACTGGGGTTGTGGTGCTGTGTTCGACAACACAGGTACCCATCATGACCAACTTTAAATACTGATGAGGTTTGGGGGCAATGGCAAAGGATGATGGCAGTTGTAATTTATCCACATTCTTATGCATCTTCCAATGGGATCATTCGCAAAATTCAGAACTAAACAATTACTACTTCTAATGTTTCTCCTTACAAAATCTCTAACCAGAGCATTGCTGGGTACCTAAGCTAGTTTCATATAAAAATCAGAGAGATAATAAGAACAAAACCAAACACAAACTCACACAAAGGGCATACTGATTGGTAGCACTTTTAATAAAAGATGGTCAGATTTCTGCGTCGGTGATTAGTGTTTGGCTTCGGCAATTTTGCTAATGATTGCATGTGATGCCAAATTGTCATTTGGCAGATAGGTTGCCAGATGAGCACATGCGTTCTTGCATAGCCTTGGCTGAGGAGTGATATCCAAGGCCGTTGGCAGCTCTGCATGGGTAGGACTGTCAGTGGGAAGTGGAATTTAATGTGGATCATCCTTCACTCATCATCCTATAAAACAGCATAATCCAACATGACTTTGCCACTTTGAGGCTCCATTTACACTGCCATACAATGCAGTTTCCAACTGTATGTAGACTGATATCATGCAGTTTAACCACACTGGACTGGCTCTATATGAGTCTACATATAATGGTGGTACAGCAGGTTAAACCACTGAGTTGCTGAACTTGCTGATTGAAAGGTCGGCAGTTCGAATCCGGGGAGTGAAGTGAGCACCACTGTTAGGCCCAGTTTTGCCAACCTATACATTCAAAAACATGCAAATGTGAGTAGATCTATAGGTACCCCTTCTGCAGTCATGTAATCATGGTGGCTACATGACCTTGGAGGCATCTACGGACAACGCTGGCTCTTCGGCTTAGAAATGGAGATGAGCACCCCCCCCCCCCATGTCTAACACGACTAGACCAAATGTCACGTTATACCTTTACCTTTATGTATACTGCACTATATTTTATTTATTTATTTATTTATTTATTTATTTATTTATTTATTATTTATTTAAACTTATATGCCGCCACTCCCCTGGGGCTCGGAGCGGCTTACAAGAATAGCTAAAATCTAGCAAAGTTTAAAAGCAATTTAAAACAATTTAAAAACAACAGTATCAAACATTAAAAGCCAGTCGAAACAGGTATGTCTTGCATGCCCTGCGGAAAGCTTGTAAGTCCCGCAGGGCACGAACTTCAGGTGGCAGAGCATTCCAGACTGATGGCGCCACTGCTGTGAAGGCTCTGCGTCTGGTTGCCGTTAGACACAAGGTCTTGACACTGGGGACTTCCAATAGATCTTGGTCCTCAGAATGGAGGGATCTCTGGGGTTGGTAGGGGGTGAGACGATACCTCAGATACATTGGCCCCAGACCATGCAAGGCCTTAAAGGTGAGTACCATCACTTTGAAAGTGATCCGGTGCTCAATTGGTAACCAATGCAGCTGTAGTAAAATTGGTGTTATGTGGCATCTCATCGGAATTCCCGCAAGAAGCCGAGCAGCTGCGTTTTGTACCAACTTGAGCTTCCGAATCACCGACACAGGAAGGCCAATGTAGAGGGCGTTACAGCAGTCCAGTCTTGTGATGACCGTGGCCTGGATCACCGTAGCTAGGTCGTCCCTGTACAGGGAGGGGGCCAGCTGTCTAGCCTGCCGCAGGTGAAAGAAGGCGGTTCTGCTCACGGCGGAGACCTGGGCCTCCATCGTCAGCAGAGAGTCCAAAAGGACTCCCAGACTCTTTACCAATGATGACGGGCGTAACGCCTCGCCATCCAGGGTGGGCAGATGGATGTCCCCACTGCCCGGTCCACCCAGCCATAGGATCTCCGTCTTTGCTGGATTCACCCTCAACCTGCTGGCACGCAGCCATCCAGTAACGGCCTCGAGGCACTGATGGAAACAATCGGGTACAGAGTCTGGTCGCAGTGTAGATGCAACCTTTGTCTGGCTGATTTAAATGGAAGATTTCCATAGCACCCCAGTCACACTGAAGGAAGCTATGAGTGTTTATTAGGCCTGTGCAATCAATGAAAAAAAAAGTTTCAATATTCACCACAAAAATTAGGGGTTAGGGGAAATTGTTTCTAAAGTGTTTCTGAAATTCGATGGAGCCTGTATCTTAACTATAACGAGTTAACTACTTTTTGTTAAATAATTGTGCTAATGGGAAAACGTCAGGGGCTCCTTTCTCCCTCATGGGTAGAGCTATTTGCATAAAACTTGCTACGATTATAGAACACATGTCCTCCCGTAGCAGCAGTCAGCCAGAGTTTCAATAAATTGTTGAAGCTTCAAAGAGGAGGACTTATTGATACTTCTAGTAAGTAAACCTCTGTGGTGGGTTGGGAAGAAATCCTTAAATGGAAGTATTATTGGTTAATATGAGAGACATTCAATAACATAGCTGTTGTGACTTTTGTTTTAAAAAAAGGTTTTTGTTAAAACTTTTTTTTAAATCTCCAAAATCAGTAGATGTATGAATATTTTTAAACTTGGGAGGGGGGGGAGCATCACCTGTTGTCTTGCGTCATTGCATAGAAAATTCAAGGAGATAGCAAAATTCTGTGAATAACTGAAACATTCTGAAACTTGATGGGCTAACAGTGGTAAATGTATTCTACCATTGTAGCAAGTTTCACCCCAATAGCGGTAAAAAAAGAGGGAGAAAGGAGCCCTTGAAGTTTCCCCACTTACACGATTAATATAGTAAAAAGTAATGAAATTTCGTTACTCTCATTACTCTCCTTCCCTTTTTCTTCCTTTTCCCTTCTTCTTTCTTTCCATCCATCTCTTTTCTTCCTTTCCCTTCTTCTTTCTTTCCATCCTTCCCTCCTTTTCCTTCCTTTTACCATCCTTCCTTTCCCTTCTTTTTTCTTTCCATTCTTCCCTTATTTTTCTTTCTTTCCATTCCTTCCTTTCCCTTCTTTCTTTCCATCCCTCCCTCCCTTTTCTTCCTTTCCCTTTTTCTTTCTTCTCATCCTTCCCTCCTTTTCCCATCCTTCCTTTCCCTTCTTCTTTCTTCTCATCCTTCCCTCCTTTTCCTATCCTTCCCTTCCTTTCTTCTTTCTTCTCATCCTCCCCTCCTTTTCCCATCCTTCCTTTCCCTTCTTCTTTCTTTCAATTCTTCCCTAATTTTTCTTTCTTTCCATTCCTTCTTCTTTCTTTCCATCCTTCCCTCCTTTTCCTTCCTTTCCCCGTCTTTCACTTTCCTTCTTTCTTTCCATCCTTCCCTCCTTTTTCTTCCCTTTCCCTTTTTCTTCCTCCATCCATCCCTCCTTTTTTCTTTCCCTCTCTTTCTTTCCATCCATCCCTCCTTTTTCTTTTTTCCATCCTTCCATTCCCTTCTTCTTTCTTTCCATCCTTCCCTCCTTTTGCTTCCTTTCCCTTCTTCTTTCTTTCCACCCCCTTTCTTTCCATCCTTCCCTCCTTTCCCTTCTTTCCTCCTTTTCCTTCCTTTCCCTTCTGTCTTTCCCTCCCCTTTCTTTCCATCCTTCCCTCCTTTTTCTTCCTTTTCCCATACTTCCTTTCCCTTCATCTTTCTTTCCATCCCCTTTCTTCCTTTTTCCTTTCTTTCCATCCATCCCTCCTTTTTCTTCCTTTCCCCTCCTTCCTTTCCCTTCCTCTTTCTTTCCATCTTTCCCTCCTTTTTCTTCCTTTTCCCATCCTTCCTTTCTCTTCTTTCTTTCCATCCTTCCCTCCTTTCCCTTCTTCTTTCCTTCTTCCTTCTTTCCTCCTTCCCTTTTCTTTCTTTTTCCTTCCTCCCTTTCCTTTTCCCTCTTTCCTTCCTTTCCCTCCTTCTTTCCCTTCTTTCTTTCTCCTTTCCTTTCTCCTTTCTTTCCATCCATCCCTCCTTTTTCTTCCTTTTCTCTTCCTTCCTTGCCCTTCTTCTTTCCATCCATTCCCTCCTTTTTCTTCCTTTTCTCACCCTTCCTTTCCCTTCATCTTTCTTTCCATCCTTTTCCCTTCCCTCCTTTCCCTTCTTCTTTCTTTCCATCCGTTCCCTCCCTTTTCCTCCCTTTCCCTTCTTTTCCTTCCTCCCTCTCTTTGGAACTATTTCTTCTCACTTGCGAGAGACAATTGCTGGGCGGAAGGATACACTCCGAGTGGCGGAGGGACACAGTTAACAATCTCTTTGCTTCTCCCCTGCTCCTCCCTCAAAAAGGAGAGACTAGGTTAAGGAGGCGGGCCTAAAACACGCCGCGTCCAATCCGACGCTTCTCTAGTTAACCAATCCGAGGGCTCAACACATTTTGCCGTTCCCCGTGACGCGTCCGCTCATTGGTGGCTTCCGACCAATGGCAGCGAAGAAAAAGATGAAAGAGGGGACGGAGGCGAGGGAAGGGCAGGGACAATCCGGCCCCGTCCCTTTTCTCTTCTTCCGACCCAATCCGCGTGACGGACAGACGCAGGAACCAATCAACTCCTTCGATGGAGAAGCTCGAGACGAGGGCGGGGACACGGAATGCCGTTGGCTCCACCCCTGGCGGCAGCTTCCATCGTGACGGGCGAAAGCGTCGACCAATCATGGGCTTCGAAAGGGAGGCAGGGGGCGGGGCATATTTTCGGTCAGCCAATGGCGTTGGCGGAGAAGCTGTGAGGGGCGAAGACGGCGAGAAAGAGAGCGAGGGCGGCAGAGGCGCAGCTCGGGGCGAGGAGAGAGGGCTCTGAGGCGGCTGAGGGTGAGAAGGGAGGCCGCGGCGTCGAGGGGAAGCGGGCGGCGGGGAAGGGGCTCCGTCTGGGAGGCCTGGCGGGGGTCGGGTAGGCCTCAGGCCTGGAGCGAGCGAGGGGGAGGCTCCCTGGGCTTTGTTGTGGTGCGAGAGGGGGAGGGGAGCCGCCAAGGGCCTCTCTTTGCCCGAACGCGCTTCAGCCTCATAGACGCCCCAAAATAGGTACATATTTACATGGAACCATAGCCTCAGTGCTTACCTGAAGGCTAAAGGCATGCCTTTGTTATTGCACAGTCAGTTACAGGCATGATTCAATCCAAGTTATGGGTTCTGATTTAAGTGAGAACCCCTCCCAAAAGAATATCTGTCGAGATCAAGCATGGACCTACTTGGGCCCTCCCTCCAGGCCCTCTAGCTATCTTTCTGTCTGTCTCCACGCCTTCTAACTGGAGGGAGAGCCCAAGTTGGCCCGTGCCTGATCTATATAGTACAATATAATAGTAATAATAATATTATATTATTATTATATATTTATATTACATGTAATATTACTAATAATATTACAGTATAATTGATATAGTACAATATAGCAATACTTAAAACTGATATTGTACTATGCTAATAATATATTGTATGTATATATACCTTGTAAGCTGCTCTGAGTCCCCTTCGGGGTGAGAAGGGCAGCATATAAATGTCGCCAAATAAATAAATAAATAGATAGATAGATAGATAGAAACGTAGATAGATAGATAGATAGGTGACTAGATAGAAAGGTAGCTAGCTAGCTAGCTAGAAAAGTAGTTGGCTAGCTGGATACATAGAAAGATACAGATAGATAGATAGATAGATAACTAATAATAGTAATAATAAACTTTATTTCTACCCCGCCATCATCTCCCCGATGGGGACTCGGAGCGGCTTACATGGCGCCAAGCCCGAACAAGAATTACAATATAACAATACAAATTGCAATAAAATAAACAACATAACATTAAAATAAAACATAACTGGATAGATAGAAAGATATGTGGCTAGATAAAATGGTAGCTAGTTAGCTAGAAAAGTAGCTGGCTAGCTAGATAGAAAGGTAGCTGGATAGATAGAAAGATATAGATAGATAGATAGATAGATGGGAAACTAATAATAATAATAATAAACTTTATACCCCACCACCATCTCCCCGATGGGGACTCGGAGCGGCTTACATTGGACCGAGCCCGAACAAGAATTACAATATAACAATACAAATTGCAATAAAATAAACAACATAACATTAAAATAAAACATAACTGGATAGATAGAAAGATAGGTGGCTAGATAAAATGGTAGCTAGCTAGCTAGGTAGAAAAGTAGCTGGCTAGCTAGATAGAAAGGTAGCTGGATAGATAGAAAGATATAGATAGATAGGTAACTGGATAGATAGAAAGATATAGATAGGTAGGTAGGTAACTAATCTATATATATATAAATGCTCTGTGCATAATGAGTGGCTTAAAAACAATAACAAAAAAAACCAACTACGGGGCCAAATGACCCCAAATTTGGCAACAAAACTCCTCACAATCCAAGGAGTGACCATCACTGAAAAAAAAAAACCCCACAAAAACAAGAGAGATATTGACAAGCTGGAATGTGTCCAGAGGAGGGCGACTAAAATGATCAAGGTCTGGAGAACAAGCCATATGAGGAGCGGCTTAAGGAGCTGGGCATGTTTAGCCTGAAGAAGAGAAGGCTGAGAGGAGATATGATAGCCATGTATAAATACGTGAGAGGAAGTCACAGGGAGGAGGGAGCAAGCTTGTTTTCTGCTGCCCTGGAGACTAGGATGTGGAACAATGGCTTCAAACTACAAGAAAGGAGATTCCATCTGAACATGAGGAAGAACTTCCTGACTGTGAGAGCTCTTCAGCAGTGGAACTTCTGCCCCGGAGTGTTGTGGAGGCTCTTTCTTTGGAAGCTTTTAAACAGAGGCTGGATGGCCATCTGTCAGGGGTGATTTGAATGCAATATTCCTGCTTCTTGGCAGGGGGTTGGACTGGATGGCCCATGAGGTCTCTTCCAACTCTTTGATTCTATGATTCTAACTGGAGGGAGGGCCAAAGTTGGCCCATGCCTGATCTATATAGGATAGATCAGTGTTTCTCAACCTGGGGGTCGGGACCCCTGGGGGGGTCAGGAGGGGGTGTCAGAGGGGTTCCCGAAGACCATCAGAATATACAATATTTTCTGTTGGTCATGGAGGTTCTGTGTGGGAAGTTTGGCCTAATTCTATCACTGGTGGGGTTCAGAATGCTCTTTGATTGTAGGTGAACTATAAATCCCAGCAACTACAAATCCCAAATGTCAAGGTCTATTTCCCCCAAACTCCACCAGAGTCCACATTTGGACATATTGAGTGTTCATGCCAAGTTTGGTCCAGATTGATCATTGTTTGAATCCACAGTGCTCTCTGGAATTAGGTGAACTACAACTCCCAAACTCAAGGTCAGTGCCCATCAAGCCATTCTCGCATTTTCTGTTGGTCATGGGATTTCTGTGTAGCCAGGTTTGATTCAGTTCCATTGTTGGTGGAGTTCAGAAAGCTCTTTGATTGTAGGCAAACCATAAATCCCAGCAACTACAACTCCCAAATGACAACGTCAATTTCCTCCAATCCCACCAGTATTCAAATTTGGGCATATCGGGTATTTGTGCCAAATTTGGTGCAGTGAATGAAAATCCATCCTGCATATCAGATATTTACATTACGATTCATAACAGTAGCGAAATTGCAGTTATGAAGTAACAACAAAAATAATAATGTTATTTTGGGGGTCACCACAACATAAGGAACTGTAATAAGGGGTCGCGACATTAGGTAGGTTGAGAACCACTGGGATAGATAGATAGATAGATAGATAGATAGATAGATAGATAGATAGATAGGTAGAAAGGTAGCTAGATAGATAGAAAAGTAGCTGGGTAGCTAGATAGAAAGGTAGCTGGATAGATAGAAATAGATAGATAGATAGGTAACTAATAATAATATTTATTTATTTATTTATTATTTAAACTTATATGCCGCCACTCCCCTGGGGCTCGGAGCAGCTTACAAGAAGAGCTAAAATCTAACAAAATTTAAAAGCAATTTAAAACAATTTAAAAACAACAATATCAAACATTAAAAGCCTGTCGAAACAGGGTATGTCTTACAGAATTCCCGCAAGAAGCCGAGTGGCTGCATTTTGTACCAACTTGAGCTTCCAGAAGGCCAATGTAGAGGGCGTTAGTTATATGGTCCACGCTCTTGTTACATCCTGAATAGACTATTGCAACGCACTCTACGTGGGGTTGCCCTTGAAGACTGTTCGGAAACTTCAACTTGTCCAGCGAGCCAGATTACTCACCGGAGCGTCATACAAGGAGCACACCACCCCCTGCTGTGTCAGCTCCACTGGCTGTCGGTTCAGTTCCGAGCACAATTCAAGGCGCTGGTTTAGACCTACAAAATCCTATACGGTTCCGGTCCAGCGTATCTGTCTGAACACATTTCCCTCTATGTCCCACCCCGGAGTTTGAGATCATCCGGGGAGGCCCTGCTCTCGACCCCACCGCTATCACAAGCGAGGTTGGTGGGGACGAGGAGCAGGGCCTTCTTAGTGGTGGCCCCTCACCTGTGGAACTCACTCCCGGGGGAAATTAGGTCATCAACATCCCTCCTCTCCTTCAGGAGGAAATTAAGGACATGGTTGTGGGACCAGGCCTTTGGGCAATCTGACAACTAGATAAGGACAATCAGATGACTAGGACTGACAAAGTGGAATTGGAAATTGGACTATGAGATGGCAAACGCTGACCGTTAATGAGGAGTAATTGGTTTGTATTGGTTTTATTGTTGTAATGCAGGAACTGTTGGTTAACTTTTAATTGCTGCTATATTGTTTTATACTACTGTTATGTGATGCCGGCATCGAATTGTGCCTTTGTAAGCCACCCTGAGTCCCCTCCAGGGTGAGAAGGGCGGGATAGAAGTAACCGACATAATAAAATAATAATAATAAACTTTATTTATACCCCGCCACCATCTTCCCGACGGGGACTCGGAGCGGCTTACATGGGGCCGAGCCTGAACAAGAATTACAATATAACAATACCAATTGCAATAAAATAAACAACATAACATTAAAATAAAACATAGCTGGATAGATAGAAAGATATAGATAGGTAGGTAACTAATAATAATAATAATCATAATCATAATAAACTTTATTTATACCCCGCCACCATCTCTCCGATGGGGACTCGGAGCGGCTTACATGGGGCCGGGCCCGAACAAGAATTACAATATAACAATACAAATTGCAATAAAATAAACAACATAACATTAAAATAAATCATCAAAACATATGAAACAATATACACAGAACATAGGAACTAAACATAATAACAAAATGACAGAGGGCGGGCCGCATGTACATAAAATGATTTTAAAAACCCCGGGTGAGATAAGGGGGCAGAACTAATTGTAAGGGAGAACTCATAGAGTGATAGGAAAATAAGCAAACCTTCGTACATGGGGGGGGGGGGGGGGGGGGGGGGGGGGGGAGAGACTCATGGGACAAGAATTTTGGGGGAGCACTAGCATAAAATTATGTGGCTACTCTCCGAAAGCGCAGAGCCAGGTCTTGAGACTCTTTTTTAAAGTTTCCAAGGTAGGGGCTTTCCTGATCTCTCCAGGCAATGAATTCCAGAGTCAGGGGGCCACAGAGGAGAAGGCTCTCTCCCTTGTACCCACAAGGCGCGTCTGAGAGACTGGTAAGGGTGAAAGGAGGGCCTCGCCCGAAGATTGGAGGGTTCGGGCTGGTTCGGGGAGAGAGATGCGGTCACAAAGGTAGATAGCTAGATAGAAAGTTTGCTAGATAGAAAGGTAGTTTGATAGACAGGTAGCTAGCTCAATAGAAAGGTAGGCAGCTAGACAGAAAGAAAGGTGGCTAGCTAGAAAAATAGAAATGTGGCTAGATAGATAGAAA